CCTTGTAGCCAAACCCGAGGGATTGGGTGCTGAGCCTCTGGACCCCTTTTCCTGGCCAGGTGACTGGGGCTGGTGCTGGATGTACTGAGCAGGCCGCATGCTGAGTGCTGGGACATCCAGGGACTGACTAGCAGACTGTCTTCTCACTCCTCGGGGAACCACTCCGAGGGAGGAGGCGGTGATTACCTCTCAGGCCCCCCCTTTCTTTTCTCAGTGTAGATTAAATGAATATACTGCAAAGTTGGGGTAATATTTGCTCTGCTTTAGGGAATGAGGTTTCCTCTGAGCAGAGCAGGGGTAGTTAGCTGGGTCACAGCAAGGCAGAGCTACTCTCTCAGCAGTTTCTGTTGAGTTGACAGGCCTCCCTGGGGTAATTAGCATTTCCGATTACCCAGGCAGCAGATCCTGTGTGTGGACTGGCCGGGGCCTGGGAGCGCATGGCCCAGCATCTGTGGGATTCAGGATGGACTTGTCTAGACCCATTTCTAGATGCAGCCACATCCCACATGAGGTATGTTGCTGTACAAGCGAAACTGTGGGTCGGGCCAGCCAGCCCTCACCATGCATGTGGTGTGTCTAATAAAACCAATTAAACGTAATGCTGTGAAATTTAGTCCTACAGCCCCACCCCTTCTGCTGAATTCTGCTGAGCCCTGTCGTGGTTGATTGTATCCCGAGTGGAGCACCTCCCTTCTCCTCCCTGAAGCTACAGGTTAGGGGGTCTTCTCTGGTGCTCTGCTCTCTGGGCAGGGAGACTTCTGGAAGGTGATGATGTTCTCTCCTTGTGCATCTAGTTCATCTTCATCTCTTCCAAAGGAGGGCAAAAGTTCCAGTAGTCAGTGCAGAGGCGTCTCTTGGTGGGGTCTTGGCTTCAAAGTCCATCCTTAGAAAGGAGATCGGGAAATTTCTGCAGGCCCGTCTGAACTATTTATTTAGGTGCTGGCAAACTCATCAGAATGTCGCTCAGGTCATTTGAAACGCTGTCCCACGGCCCCACACTTAGTCATCCCCTGACTTTTGAAGAGAGCCAAGCATCAGAGATAACTCTGGTAAAAATATCATTTGGGATCAGAAATGAGTTCGACTCCTGTGTGCAGATTCCTGAGGTGGCTGCAGTGAAGTAAGATGCTGTGAGAGCATCTGTGGTCTCCCAGCTGGAAAGAGCAGTCGGATGGGGTTGTGTTTCTGCTGGGTCCCAAACGACGCTGGCAAGCTCTAATATCATGACGCTCCAGTTTGCTCATTTGTTAAATGGAAATAACTCATAGAGTTGCTGACCACCTTGCAAAGTGCCTAACACACTGCCCAGTGCCTGGGATGTGGCAGTAGAGGCTTGGGGTATGCTTAGTGCAGTGCTACCTGGGATAATGGTGGTGGAATGGTGCCCAGGACATTCCTTTCCTGGGGCTGCCATAACAATTGGGTGCCTTAAAACAACAGTTATTTATTTTCTCCCAATTCTGGAGGCCAGATGTCCAAACTCAAAGTGTTGGCAGGCCTGGGCTGCCTCAGAAGGCACTGGGGAGAATCTTCGCTTGCTTCTTGTAGCTCTGGTGGCTGTACACCTTCTGGCTGGGTGGCATCACTCCAGTCTCTGCTTTCGTGGTCCCATTGCTTCCTCCTCTCTTCTGTGTCTTCTCTGTGTGTCCTGGTCTAATCTCCCCCTGCCTTGCAATTGTAAGGATGTGTGAGATTACATTTTAGGGCCCACCCAGATAATTCAGGGTACGTGCCTCTTCTCAAGATCCTTAATCACACCTGCAAAGACCCAGTGTTTTACTGAATGAGGTAACACTCACAGGTGTCCGTGGTTGGGATGTGGACATATCTTTTGGGGGCCACAGTCTAGCCCACTACACTCAGTAAATGCTACCTGTGGTGGTGGCAATGATGACAATGACAATACAAATCAGTAAAGAAGTGTAGGCAAGTCTAAGGGCTTGGGGGAAGTGCTCAGGGTGGCGCCAAAGAGGGGATTGGGCTCAGGCCTGACTTGGTTTCCTGCCCTTCACTGCATTTTGGACAGCCCTGTGGGTCCATAGCTCTGACACCCTTCTGCCTGGGTTTGTTGGGCTTCTGGACCAGCTCACGGCAGCCAGGACACTGAGGCCTGTGCCTGCCCTCAGCCCAGTTGCCCACCTCCCCTGTGAGGCACGTGGACCTTCTGTGAGGGCTCAGCATGATGACATTTCCAGCAGGCCCATTTCCTACATCCAGCCTGGCTGAGAGGAGCTGTGATGCTGAGCAGGATCCAGTGATTTCATCCAAATAATCACCAGCCGCCCCCCCAGGCCTTCAGGATGTGCCACTTGCATCCAGGCCAAGGGAGGCAGCATTTCCCCAGGCCTTTCCCCCAGGCCGCTGCTGGGGTGGCACCCTTTCCAGCCTGGAATGCTGCTGTTCTCCAGGCCCTGCTTGGCTCAGGTTTGACAGCTTGATTTTTCTTAATTTCAGGGTGGGAAGGGGCAGCTTTGGGTCTAGCAGGGGGCTTGGTGTGCAAGTGAAAGCCCTGGTTGAGAGGATGATGGCAGGGGTCTGCTGTGGAGTTAATGGTTGCTCCAGTAGGGGTGAGGGAGAGTGGGCCGAGTGGGCTTTTGGTGTGAGGTTTTTTGTGTGCGTTTTTTTCCGTTTCCTTCACTGATGAAGCTTTGGGCCTGGCCATTCTTTTACAACCCCCAGCAGAGAGCTCAGAAGCCGGGAATTGCTTTCTTAGCAAAGTCCATACGGAACTGCAGAGAAATTGCTCTCCAGGTTGCTAGCTCATTCCTCCCACACAAATCAGTGAAGGGACAGGCGTTCAGGAGACCTGGATGCTGGTCCCACTGTGGCCCTTATGGTCAGAAAACTTTGAGGAAGTTGCTTACGTGCTCTGAGTTTCAGATTCAGAGATGCAAAAGCTAACTCCAGCCTGCTGCCCAGGCTCATCAGAGGAGCAGACAGGGTCTTGCCTAGGAAGGCCCTTTTTGAAACCAAATCAAAACCACATAACTGCATCGGATTAAATATTGTTTTTAAGGACTAGGTGGGCAACTCCTAAACAGTGCTTTCATAATGATGGTAGTAACATTTAAAATGTTAAAAACAAAAACAATGCTCGTAGAATGTGAAAAGCCAGAAGTGACATAGGGTGTCTTGGCTGACGTGAGCTCATAAAGGGCAAGGGTATGTCTTTTGCATTTTCTTGTATTTTCGACTCTACAGTATCCAGCATGTAGGATTTGCTCCTTAAATGCCTAATGACTCAGTGGTCACCTGGTCCATCCTGCTGTCTTACCTGTAAGATGAAAGAGACTGGGCACTTCCATCACGTGCTCTGGTGGCCCTTTCCCCAAGCACCCCTGCTCTTCCACATGCCTGCCCAGGCTGTGCCCTCCAGCTAGAGTGCCTTTATTTTATTTTATGTTTTGTTATGTTATTTTATTTTATTTTATTTTTGCGTACAATAGATTCCATTTATTCTTCAGAATCCACCTTGAATGCTGGGTGCTCAGAGAAGCATTCTCTGGCCTCTCAGGCCAAGTTGGTTCCCTCCTTCCCAGGTGCTACCTTGGGCCGGGCTAAGGTGAGGAGGGTGAGGCCCTTCCCTTAGACACAGAATGAAAGAGCACCAACATATGCATTAATCAAGAGAAGTGATATTTTAATGCAATATTAAAAAAAAAAATTAAATGTAATGCAAAAAAGTCTACCTTGAACTAAATATCAACATTTGGAAATAAAGACAAAATCCGACCTTGTCTTACATGACTTAACCTCACTCACCTTCACCTTTCCCAACCCTGTCCACAGATCTTGTCTTTATTGGAAAATTGATGTTTTTTCATCATGCATTTTTGCACTAATTTTGATTTTATAAAACACTTCATTAGTCTTGATTACTGGGTTTTTTGAAGCCCCTTAAATGTTGTGCTGGAGGCCCTGGACACTCCCTTGGCATACATCACCCAAGGTGCCCGTGTCTCTGCAGGGACCTTGAGCTCTTTGAGGGCAAGCATAGTGTCTTTTTATTTGGGTGCAGTAGGGACTTGTTGGGCCTCTTTGGTCACCCTTTGCTTTCAGCTGCCTCCCATCCTGAGATCCTGCCCAATCTAACGTCAAAAGAAATTGGTGAAGGGTGTGAATTTTAATGAAGATTTCAGTACAATGAGACATCTTCTCATTCTCTTCTCCAGAGCCCTTCTCTCCTGCCAGATGTCTTATCTCTCCTTGTCCTTCATTTCATTTCCACATTCCTGAGCAAAACAAATGCCCAACTACTATTATTCCTTAAGATTTCCTCTTGAGTGGCGGTGGTGATGGCGATAATGGGAAGATAGTCTTAGGTAATCATACTTCCCCAGAGACACAAGACCTGGCACCCAGAGTGACTGATGAATGAGGGGTTGAGTGAATGAATGAGCAGACAGAGCCCAGGTGCAGCAAAGGGGATTCTCTTAGGAGACTAAGTTTAAGGGGCTTTAGCAAGTTGCAGCATTTCTCTCACTGCTTTCTTTCATTAAGAGGTACATTTCCCTTAGAAACCTGTCCTGTGAAGTGTATTAGCCTCAGCCTCTCCCTTCCTCGTGATCTGTCCCCAGTTCTGGGCTCTTTTTACCCACAAGCTCTGACCAGAGAGGCAAGTGTGGGTCTCCTGAGTCAGCCTACACCCTATGTTGGGGAAGGTCTTTATTCAGCTCACCTCTCAAGGGCCAGAGTGATCCTGCTTGATGGTCCCAATGATCTTTGGATCCGGACCTCAGGGCTCTGAACCTCCTCGGTCAGAGGATCCAGAACAGGACTGGATGTTACAGTGCAATTGTGCTCACGGGGGCCTAACTCTGCTGGGTCCCAGGGAAATGGGTCCTTTATTAAGTATAACACAGGCATTGTCAGTGTTTGCAGACTATGAAGCAATTCATTGATAAAGTTTAGAAAATAGAGTATTGAGAAGATAAACCAATCACCTGGACTCTTGCCCCTGGAGGTAACCACTGTTAACATTTCTTTGTGTTCTTTTTCAGACTTTCTTCCGTTTTTCTTTGCAGAAGGTGGTGATCCTCAAGGTGGGGAAAGTGGGAAAGAGCCTGTCCTATCTCCTGATCTATTCCTCTGGCACCACCCCATGGGCAGGAGGAGGGGGACACTGGCATGGATGGAGCCCCTGTGAGCTGCCTCTGGGGTGATGAGAGGCCTCTGAGATTTCTCTGTTCCAAGTCAAGGAGCCTAAAGACCTTTGAACCCTGGTAGGGTGCTCTGGGCCGTGCCTAGCACCTCCAGGTTTACAGTCTGGAAGCAAGTCTTTGCCTCCTTCCCTGTTTCTTTAGATTGTGTCTCACCAGCAGGAGCTGTGTGTGTGTTGGGATCGTAGATTTTATTAGGCTCAGACCTTGTTTTGGAAACATTGAAAGGAAGGGGGCCGGCTCAGCCCTCTGTGTGTGCCGAGTGCTGACCACTTTGCATATGTCATTTCATTTACTCCTCACAACCACAAAGGCAGTGTGGGTTATTATGATCCCTGTATGATAAAGGAGGAGCCCAGGAGATTCAGCAGGTGGCCCAGGGTGACACAAAGACCACCTGCAGAGACCGATAGCAGTCCTGGGTCCTCTGCCTTCAGAGCCCAAGCTGCTTGCTGTCCCATCCTTCCTCCCACCCTGGTTTGTCCCAGGGCTGGGATGGTGGAAGGATAATTTATCTGGGCTTGGAGAATTTTCTATTCTCTCAATAGAGAAGACCTGCTCCTGAACATCCCCTGGCTTTGGGCTTTGGTACTGTGTTGTAGGCACAGGTTGCTGTTTTCACTGATCCATTCACTGATATTTATAAGTGCCTGGTGTGCTCCAAGCACTGGCCTGCACTAGGGATGGGCAGCAAAGTGATGTGAGGTCCCCCCTTCAGTGGGTTTATATTCTGGAAGGGCAGACAGACAAGCCAATGCCCTGGACTGTGGTAGGAGCAATGGTAGAGAGGCCTGGGGCAGAGAGAGGGCATCGAAATGCAAAGCAGCCTAGAAGGTGGGTGGTGGTTAGGGATGCTTCCCACAGGAAGCCATTTTTGAGCTGAATTTTGAAGGCATGGAGGCGTCACACAGCATGAAGTGTCCAGGAAACCACAGACCACACGTGGTTCATTATGGCTAAAACTGAGGGTGAAGAGTGAGGGGTGAAGGACGTCATCTGGAGGGCTCAGAACTGCCAGATTAGAAAGAAGGCGGGGTGATACATGAACAAGTCTGAATGTAACCCCCCAACCTTGGGCGTCTTGGAAGGATTTTGAGGATCAGCACTTTGACTTCTGAGTGGAGGCCAGTCGGAGGGGGACAGACTGGAGGCGAGAGTCTGTCGCAGCGGGGAAGTGATTTGGCCCAAAGGCCAGCAGGCAGAGGCAGTGGACGTGGAGGGGACGTGTGCGGCAGGCTGGGAGGAAGACGCCACACAGAGGCAGCGGGTGAGCTCCTCTCGGGGTGAGGAGGAGACGGAGAGAGCAGAGATGATGCCTGACTTGGGGCTTGGGCCGGAGTGGATGGTGGGGCCTTTCAGCAGAAAGGAGGAAACAGAGAAAGGTGGAGGCCAAGCTTGGAAAGGAAAGGCCTGGTAGACCGGGAGGGGGAGGATCTGGAGGCCCATGAGTTAAACAGATGTTTCCAATGGTTGGAAATCTCGGATTTGAAGACCTTGCTTTGATCCCCCTACCCTTGTTTCCTTCCTATGTTCCTGCTGCTCTTTGCCCCCCCACCTCCAGCTGTCAGTCCTTTTACTCAGATGGCCACTGGCCCCATTTTTCTGTGTACTTTATTTAAACCAGGGTAGCTGCCTTCACTGTAAAGCCCTGACAATATCCCCAACATCCCTGGGAAGGGGAATTTTATGTTCTCCCCATTTTATAGATATGGAAACTAAGCCTCCCGCAAAAAAAATTTTTTTTTAAGCTGCTGTATATCAGGGAAGGGTGAACCCATTGTCCAGCCAAGGAGGGGAGAAGGGATAGGGGAGGGGACATGAGCACGGTGATCAACTCATCCTAGTTTGCCAGGATTGTCCCACATCCCAGGAAACACTGCAGACCTTGGCAGACCTGGATGGTTGGTCACCTTAGGTTGGTTGGAGAAAAGGGAAGGAGGAAGATATGCTCTCAGGTTGGTCTCCTGTCTCCCAGGGGGGCTACAGGGCTATAGGCTCCCAGTCCCTCTGGCCTTGGGACACAGTAGCCAGGTCACACACAGGCTGCCTCTGAGACTGATATGCTTCTTATGCCAGAGGCCCCTGCCATCTGAGCCCTGAGTCCCCAGCCCTTGGAAGAGTGGTACAGACCTAGTACTGAGCACACAGTACATCCTTTATAAATATTTGCCCAGTGACTGCGCCCAGGGATACATGGAAAAGGGGCAGAGTTGACGTGGAGCGTTTCCTCTTCACCAGCTCAATGGCAGCCTTCTGGTGCACACACAGATGTCTTCTGCTCACCATCCCTCCTGAAGCCCCCAAGATGAAAGCCTTCTTCCTGGCTTACTTAGAAAACCAGTACCTGTTCTAATCTCCCCATGCAGGACCACCAGTGCCCGAGGCAGCTTTGATGTCACAGTTGCATCTGGGAACCCAACGCTCGCCCTCTCTCACATTTGGAAACCATGGACATAAGGAGCAGATGTTCTTCTAATAATGAGAAGACGTGCAGGCGCTGACACATGAGAATAGTTTCCAGTCCTAAGTTAATTAGCAAGCTGGGGAGCCCAGATAAATAAAGCTTTCTGTCTCCTTTCCTGGAGCCTAAAATATCTGATCTGGAGGTTCCCTCCCGTTTTCCCCCTCCTCCCCAACATCAGGATTTGGGGAAGCGATTAAGTGCCTGGCAACGTGTGTGTACAGAACTGCCTTCCCAGCGGCCACATGGCCTGTGTTCCTACAGAAACTCCAGCCCGGACACACAGTCAGTTCTCCGTGACTAGCTGCTGGTTATCTGTCTCTCCCCATCCTAACCTTGGCTTATATGTTTTTCACATTAACTTTCTCATGGACTTTATCACAGTATTACTAGGAGTAGCGAGAGGGTAAGAGTTAAGGAGTACTACATGCCAAGCCCTCTCTTAGTGGCCTTGTTTTGGTCTCATTAATTTTCAAGCAATCCCATGAAGGAGACATCCCTGTTTTCCCTATTATACAGATGGGAAATGCAAGTCTTAGACAAGTTAAGCTGTTAAGTGGGGAATTGAATTTGAAGCCCAGTTTGTCTAATGGCAAGGCCCAAGGCCCTCATCAATGAATGAACTTTAGAGTGCAGCAAATTCAAATCTTCCCTTATTTTAAAGGTGTCTCTCTTAGTCAGCTCAGGTTGCCATAAAAAAATACCATAAATGAGGCCACTTACCCAGCATTCATTTCTCACAGTTCTGGAGGCTGGGATGTCTAAGATCAGGGTGCCAGCAGATTCGGTGCCTAGTGAGGGCTCTCTTCCAGGTTTGCAGACAGCCATCTTCTCCTTATGTCCTCACATGGCCTTTCCTTTGTGCATGAGGGGAGAAAGACAGAGGTACCTCCTGTCTCTTCCTTCTTTTATAAGGGCATTGGTTCCTTCAATACCTGATCTAACCCTCATTACCTCCCAAAGGCCCTACCTCCAAGTACCATCACACTGGGGTTAGGGCTTCAGCACATGAATTTTGCAGGGACCCAACCATTCCGTCCGTGCAGTGTCTAAGCAAAACCCTTCTTTGAAGTGGGACTTTTCATTGACACGTGTTGGCTGACAATAAATCTAAGAGCTGACCTAGCTTCCCAACTCCCGGATTCTACTTTTCACTCTAGCTTATTAGCTGTCTCTTTTCTCCCCTTTTCCCACTCTTCAGAACTGCGCTACTGATCTTCTGTCTTCTCTTTGAGAAACGTTGTTTTCAAGCAGATTGAACAGTCTCTGGAGAAGGCCCAACAGATTATTTCAAAATTTATTCCAGTTAATTTATTAAACACAGAAGATCCTGTGTTTCTTTGTAAAATTATAATACTCAGAGTTTGAGACTTGGAGTTCAATGAGCATGTTCCTCTGGCTGATGGTGTGTTTACTGAATATCAGTGGCTGTCGCTAACCATGCTTTGAAACAAGAGACATGTGTTTTTAATAGAATTGCAAGTTTTATGCCTTGTTAAAAATACCAACATGGATACTGGCTAGAGGAATGAGGCTAGATCTCAAAGAGCAGCTATGGATTCTCTTCTTAGGCTACTGGGGCAGGGGAGGGGAGCTGAGGAAGGACAGCCTGTGCCCTCACATTCGCTTTATTTCAGATGGGTGGCCCTCCCTGTTCTCCTTAGGACATGACCACTGCCACCAGCTGGCCTTCTCAGCCCCACCCATACGTGGGATAGCAGTGGGCTCCATCCTTTCTGAACGGAAGTGTGTATTTCCAGAGAAGCTTTTTCCTTAGTTGTGAAGAGCATCCATTGGATTTTTGGGAAAGCCTAAATTACAGGGTGCTCTAAGAGAAATGCAGCCCTTATTACTTAAAGAGATACTTTCTGAACCCTAGGACCAGGGCGAGGGCCTGACCCCACACACACAGGATAGCTGGCAGTGCTCACATTCCCCAAAGCAGCGCCCATCCCTAAAGGGATGCCTTGAAGTTCTTTAACTTCAGTTTTCAATACAGTGTGTGTTCCTTTTTTCTGATTGTAAAAGAAATACCTGTATAAACATGAAGTAATTTTCATCAATAATTTCACCACCCATAGATACTGTTATTTTCAAGACATTTCTTTTCAGTCTTGTTTCCGATGTGTTTGTAGATCTGTATATAGAGTATTTACAGAATTGAGCACATCTCTACAGTTTCGAATACTGCTCCCCCCACCTAACCGCACATTGTGTGCATCTTTCCATGTCATTAAAGAGCCTTCAAGTGTGTTTTTTTAAGTGAATGCGTAATACTCCTTCCAGTGATGCACCACAATGGATTTGCCCAACTGTTCTTTTTCTCAAATGTTTGACTGCAGATTTTTCCTATTATAGAACTCACTGCGACATTCATGTCCTTTACTCTTAATTACATGAAATGTTTCTTTTGTTTGAGGTACTGCTTTTTCCCCCACGTTAAATGATGGATGTTCTAGCAGAAGAACTGCCCTGACCCCAATTAAGGAACTGTTTTTTAAAGAGGACCAGATTTTAAAAATAAAATAGGGAGTGAGAAAGCGGGAGAGAATGTTCGAGAACAATGTTCATACACCACTTCTCTATGTAAACCTAAATTATATCGTGTGGGTTAAGGATATACATTAATGAGTTTGCAATTTATTCCCAAGAAAGCCTGTTTTTGCATACAGGAAAGAACTAGAAAGTAATATATGGAAGAATATAATAAGGTGGAAAACTATATGGTGGATGAACATGTACTAAGGAGACAGTAAAAGAAGAGAAAATCCTGACATTTTTCTGGCACCGTTAAACAATTTTGGAGAGAGGGGATTTGCAGTTGATCTTTAAGAGTATCTGGGATTTAAAAAGATAGAAAGCTACGTTGTCTTGAGCCCTTACAATGTGCCTGGGATTTTATACATATCATCGACTTTTTCCTTACAATGGCCCTACCAATTTGTTGTTAAAGTAAATGAATGCTTGCAAAAACTATTCAGTATAAACAGATTATAGATTTATACAATATAAAATTGGAAATATTTGCAGGTACAATATGATTTAAATAGGCACAGGATAATAAATGTTTTAAAAACAGATGAAATCAAGGCAAAGGAAAAATATGGACAGGAGGAAGGTGAGCTCTATGAAGGAAGGATTCTTCACCTGTTTTGTTCACTGATGGATCCCACACAGCTGCATTAATGATAGCATTCAATAGATGTTCGATAAATATGTGTCGAATGAGTGAGTGAATGAGTGGGTGAAAAGGGTAGGTAAGATGTGTGCCATATGGTCCTGCATACGTTACTAGTGGTCAGATGCAGTTTTGCCTCTGAGCCTCCTTATAGACAAAGCATGTAGGGTAACATGGTCAGAAATCACCTTAATTTCTAAATAAAGAAGAGGTTTAGCGGGCAGTGGGACGGGATTTGACCAGGCTATGTCTGGGAAAAGTGAGGAGTCAGTTCCAAGGAGCAGGACTGCCATGGGCAGCAGTTAGAAGGGCCGGCCGGTGAGTTTGCGTGGCAGGCAAGGGCCTTCATCAGGGGGACGTGCGGGGAGCGAAGAGGAGCCTCCTGACTTGGGCAGAGGGCGCAGGAGCGAGCTGTAAGAGAGCCCGGGCAGAAGGCAGATTTCTTTAAAAGCAAAATAATCCCATCATTTGCTTCCCAGACCTAAAAAGAAACTTTCTGTTATGGACTGAATCATGTACCCCCAAATTCGTGTGTTGAAGCCCTCACCCCTAATGTGACAACTTGGAAATAGGGTCTTGAAAGAGGTGATTAAAATGAAATGAAGTAATAAGGGAGGGAACCTAATCTGATAGGACCGGTGTCCTTACGAGCAGAGGAAGAGACACCAGGGATCTCTCTTTCCAAGAGTACACAGAGAAAAGCCATGTGAGGACACAGTGAGAAGGTGGCTTCTACAGGCCAAGTGTCTTCTAGGTTGTCGTCCTTAATCTTGGGCTTTCAGCCTCCAGAACTGTGAGAACATACATTTCTGTTGTTTAAGCCACCAGTCTGGTATTTTGTTATGGCAGCCTGGGCTGGCTAATACACCCTCCAAACATCACAACGTTTTGTTTTTAGAAGAGAATTTTCATATTTAGAAGAGAAACATCACCCATGTGTCTTCATGTATCTGGGAATGATGGCAGCTCATGGTGGCCCTTGTTCTCAGTTCTCAGAGGGATATAATGATACCAGGCTGGGTGCAGGGAAGGGCATGCTCAGACAGTTTGAACCAACCAAGTTCAATCTCTTCAATTTTGGTCTGGCATTTTTCACTATATCTTTTGCAACCTATTTATCTAAGTCCCTGGCCCCCCATGTCCCCTTCCTGCCCCACTGTGAGCACAGATATAACTTACCCACAATTATGAATTAAAATTGCACATCATGGGGTAGATGGTGGGGGACAGCAGCAGTCACTGCATACCCCTCATTTACGGCATCTGGTCCAAACCATAACTGGCCCATGGGAAGCTGGTGTCCTAGGGGAGGGGCCACGTGGCAGGACCAGGGGCATGTGTTTTTCTTTGGCTGTTCTGGGCTTGGATTCTGTTTATTATTTCTCAACTAACTCCTGCAGCCCCCAAATCTATTTTTAAGGCAAAATTGTTGCTTCTGTTTTGTCATAGAGGAAATACTATATCTGAAAATCATTATCTGTAATGTTGGGCTGCCATGTACAGGGTGTGCGCTGATGGAGTCAGGGGAACAAGAAGCACTCCATGAGAACCGTGCACCATGGTGCGCCTAGGTCTGGGCTTTCACCCAACAGCATGTCAAGGCCATTGGGGGTCACCTACAGCTCTGGCCTCATCTCATGCTTCTTTGATGAGACATTGAGGGAAGCCTTCAGCTTGGATCTTTTTCTTCCAACCTTTGTTTTCTAAACTCGGGTCCTGATGGCCTTAGTAACTTTCCCTGATTATTTCTAAATGATTATGATAAAATGATAATAGGGATTCTACGATGTTTTCCAAGAAGCTATAGGAATAACTGCACTCATTCCATTCCATCTTCTTTTTTAAAGTATGTTTTTATTGAATTTTAGAGAGAGAGGAAGGGAGAGGGAGAGAGAGAGAGAAACAACCATGAAAGAGGAACATCGATCGGCTGCCTTCCACATGGCCCCCACTGAGGATCGAGCCCACAACCTGGGCGTGTGCCCTGACTAGGAATCGAACTGTCAACCTCTGGGCGCGTGGGTCTGTGCTCAACCACTGAGCAACACCAGCCAAGCTCCATTCCATCTTTTAAAATCACGAGCGTGTAGGCAGTAATAAGACCTAGAACATTTTAACTATTTTGCTCTCCCCCCTTTTACTGAGATATCATTGACACGTAGCACTGTATACATTTAAGGTACACAGCATAATGATTTCACTTACTCATGTATATTGTGAAATGATTACCACAATAAGTATAGTTAACATCTGTCAGCTCGTATAGATACAAAAAAGAAAAGAAAAATGTTTTTCTTTTGATGAGAACTCTCAGGATTTACTCTGTTAACTTTTACATGTACCACTTCTTTTGCTTTTAAAGAAAGTATATAGTGATTGGGGGAAATAAGTCTTGCAGTGGAGAACCATTCTTAACTTGCACTGCTATTAAACAGCTGATGGTTCTTCTTTCCCTCGATGTTTTAGTCTTCCCTTTTAAAGAAGCCAATGTGAAAAACCTATGCCAAGCTGCTATGGGTTTATATCTTCCTGAATTTTTCACAGGATTCTCTCTGCACACTCTGTGTTTGAAAAACAATCAATCAATCAGTCTATCAGATAAACAAACCCAGGATGTCAACGTGACAGAACAAAATTATTAATAGGATGTGTTTCTGTGTTCCCAGCCTTACCCCCACTTGCACTCCCTCCCTCCCCTGAAGGCTTTCAGGATGTCCATCAGCAGATGAATCTGGGTAGAGGGATCTGAGTTTGCCCTTTTGGCTGAAACAGGAATCAGCAGGGTTCAACCCTGTGGCTTTGCACCAGAATAGGCAATGCATCCTAATTAAAGAGCAGATGATGTACACACACTACTAAACCAGAAAGTGTACTGTCCCCAGAGATACTCGTGTGTGTGTGTGCGCGCGCGCGCGCGTGTGCGTTGGGGGGTGGAAAGGAGAGTAAAAAAAAAAAGAGAAGGTCTTTTGGCTCTTGCCTGGGGTGCAGTTTTCCTTGAGCTCTTGGAGAGAGTCTCAAGCAGAAGCGAGCTGTGCTTGACTATGCACACGCCTGAAACCAGGAGTGGTTTAAAGGATGGTGCTGAGGCCGCACACAAACCAGAGGGTGTGCAGCAAAAGTGTTTCCTTGGGGCTAACGGCTTCACCCCGATGCTATGAGTACAGGCAAGGCGTGGGTCATTCCTGGACCATGACCCGGGGCCTGGGATCTGGCTACAGCTGAAAGCCTTTGACCATGAACAAGCCACATCTCATCTTCAAGCCTGTGTGTTGTCCTCTGCCAAACGAGCTGGTGGACACTGTGAGCTTTCGGGCCACATTGAGCTCCAGGAGGCCAGGTGCAGCCCATCTGCTATTACCCGTGGCTGGAGCAGGTGAGGGGCATCTGCAGCTGGCCCACAGGCTTTCCTTGGTGGATCTGAATCTCTTCAGTCTGCCGCCCAAGCACCGGCTGCAGTTCTCAGAGGCGCCAGCCTCAGAAAGACAGGTCTGCCCTTTGTGTCCTTTAGAGAAGGAACAACAAATAGACAACAGTTGGAACCTTTGAGTCTGAAGTCAGTGATTAACTTGTGTTCTTCAGGAACTGTACGTGGTGACTTGAAGGAGAAAGTGTGCAGTGAGCTGAGGCAAGGCTGGGAGTGATCAGCGTGGCATCTTGCTCCGGACTGCAGGGCCCTGACTTGTCTTGGACACGGTAAGGTCCAGGGGCTTGCAGGGATCAGCCCGAAAACCAGGAGGCCCGAGAAGCACTTGCAGGTGCCTGTGAAGGGGACCTATGCAAGACAACCCTGGTTATCTATTGCTGCGGCACAATCCATTCCCCACCTAGTGGCTTACAAGAGCAATCATTCGATTGTGATTCTTTGAGCCAGGAATTTTGAGCAGAATTTAGTTGGGCAATTTTCTGCTCCACGTGGACTGGGGTTCCTCAGTGGGATTCAGTGGTTGGGCTGGTCTGGAGGGTCCAGGAAGGCTTTACTCTTGTGTCAGAACCTTGTCAGTGAAGTGTTGGAAGGCTAGGGTCCGCTGGGGCCCTGGGATGGATGGCTGGGCCTCTCTCTCTCTTTCTCTGCTATAGTCCCAGGGCTTCTTCCTCTCCATCTGGTCTCTCTATGTGTCTCTTGCCAGGTTGCCAGATTTCTTATCTGACGGTTCTGGTTCCAGGACCCCAAGAGAGAGGAGGCAGAAATTGCTAACCCTCTTAAAGGCCAGGACAGGCCTGGAACAGCCACACTCTGCCGTGGCTTGTTGACTGAAGTAGTCACGGAGTAGCTTAGATCCAACAGGATGGAGGTAGAGACTTACTCAATAGGGGAGTGCACGTGTGCACAGAAAGGGAGGGAACTGAAGTGCCCATCTTTGGGAATAAGCTACTACAAGGCCCCCTTGGCAGAATTTGGAAGGATTTGGAGTCTGGGGTCCCCTCAGCAGTAATGATGCCCAGAGAGCCTTCATGGCTGCAAAAGTGTCAGCCTAACTGTCCCTCAATATCAAACCTCCTCTGGTTCCAGGAGTGAGATGTGACCAGCATGATGAACCCTCTTTGCCTCTTATCTCCAGGAAACCATCCTGACTCTGATCTGGCCACATCCAGCCCCAGAATTCCTCACCCATCCTCTCTCAGGGAGAGTGAAATGGTGTGGAATACGAGTACTAACTCTGATGGACTCCTAGTGGCTTCCTAGAGCACAATGTTGAGGAGGATCCTGAAACCACATCAAGGCTCAGGGCTACAGTGTATTGGTCATGTCTGTGTTGGACCGAGGAGTAGATTTATTCTAATTCTAGGTCTGACCATGCCATGCTCTTACCGGAAGGGAGACAGGTGTATTAATTAGTCTCTAAACTTGCCATGTGTTTTCCCACCTGCCCCCATTTGCAGGGCTCATTGCCTTCTCAGTGGTTGCCTGCAACTTGCCTGGCCTTCAAGGTCTGCCTCCTCCCACAAGCTTTGCTTGACGGCCCTAGTTTCTGGATTTCTATAACTTAGGCTGAGGGAGTTTCTACCGTTAGATACTGCCATGCATTGTTAATTATCTTTACATACTAATTATTCCTAATTAGGCTATTAGATAATTGAAGTCAAGGTCAGTTTCTTATACACCTTGGTATCCTTTCTTCAGTTGGTGTTTCTCCTGGCAGTGACTTAAGACAAGCACCAGAAGAGGATTTGAATATACTGTTGAATCTGTATTTCCCTGTGAACAGGCATTGGTGGTTGAAATGGGTTAATACCCCCAGGCTCAACTCAGTGGGCTTTGCCAAGGGAGGTTGCCTGGGTCAAGGGTAGCCAACCAGGACCAAAGCAGAGCTGTTGGTCAGGTAGCCTCAGGTGCCAATTCTGGCTGAGGCCTGCGCTGCTGCTCAATTAATTCCTGACAGCGTGTTCATGGGCTCCACGTGTTTAAGCTTCCATGGCCCTTGCTGTTGCCTGTTGTTTGAATTATCAGTCTGAAAATGCTTAAGTTAATATTCTAGTAGGTGGAGGGGGGATGTCTAAAGACCCCAGAGAGGGAAATAGTGTGGTAGAGGAGAAAGGAGATGCTTTCGGAGGTCTTGTGGGAATGGAAACTGGTGGTTAAGGGTCCCTGATTTTCAACCTCACCCCCCCACCCCAGGAAAGAGTGTGCTCCTTCTTGCCTCTGGAGGGTTCATGTTTATTGGCACTTAGCTCCCATATCTGGAGCTTAAAACTGAGAAAGTGGATTTGGCAGAATTCCTTTGAGTTGTGCATTGCTGTGTCTGGGTTCATCTGTCTAGGCATATAAAATCCCTGGAGACAAACATGAAGAACATGCTACTTTATTTCCAATACATATACCTGACATACCTGGGAAGGTCATAGCTCTGCAAGTGTGCGCCATAAGTAAGTCACCCTTCTTCCTGGTCCAGCGAGTCTGTGATCCCCCAGCAACCCCATGGAATTACCTCGTGTACATCCAAATATGATCAAGATATATTTTATGATCAGTAAGATACAGAGGCAGTTGATGTTATTCATAATGTTTTGGAAGCTGGGTGAGATCTTAAAGTGTATTCAGAATCATCAAGGCATCAAGGGAACATGGAATTATGTGCAGCCCAGTCATAAGGTTGAATTTCATTTTATTGTCTTTGTGATCATTGGTCATCTAAATATTGTTTACTAGAAAAGCCACTTAGAGAATTTGTTTTAGCGATTGCCAAGAACAGCCGCAATAACAACTATAATTTTTCGAGGGTTCACTTGATACCAGGTGTTGTGTGGCGTGCTTTATGTATTCATGATCTCGTGTCATCTTTCTGGATCAATGGGAGTTTCTGATGCTACCATTAAGAAATAAACATCATAAAAGGGATGCTTCCTACACCTTGTTTTGTGGGTTTGCATGGCTTGGATAAAGTAACTCCTGGAAAGGAAGATTCTTGGCTATGATGCAGCTGGTGTTAACTGACCACCTGTGTTGTGTTCTCCCAGCCTGTGCAGAGCTCTGCAGGGCATGTGGTGGAAGCCACTCTTCCCGTCTTTCTTTGCCCTTCATTCTTGCCCACATTAGATTGGGGGCTACCTACATATGGATTTGGCCCATCTCCCCGAACTAGCTGCCTCTCCCACTTCCATTCATGTTGGGCATAATGAGAGATAGAACTGTCTTCTGTCTTTTGAAGAAGATGTACTTTGCACTGCTTAGAAAGGATCAGTTGTGAATTTATAGTTACTGAATGCTGATTCACATTTAACCATCTGTTTAAAAATGTACCCGGATTTGTTTTAATTATGTATGATAAGAGATGCAGACACAGAAATGACTGTCGTGATGGAAGTTTATATGCACAGATCCCTGGAGACAGGAGGCACACAGTGCAGGGCCACCTGGGGAAGCACCAGGGTGGATCAGGAGGCAGAAAGAAGGAGAGCAAAGGGAAAGGTGGGTCTAAGTCTTTATTGTGATTTTCTCTGGAAGGAATGGGTGAGGTGTGGGGTAAGCAGTCTTAGGACTGACTAATTTGAATAAGGTCAAGAGCTTCAAGGTGTAAGGACTGGCCCAGGTTGCCTGGAACAATTGCAGTGATTAGGTCCTGGGGTGATGAGGGCAGGGAACAAAAGGAGATAGTTGCGGACGTGGACTCTGGATTGGTTGCTCTGCATATGAAAGGGGTGTTGTGCGTGGGTTATTTTGCTATCCATGAGAATCTACAGCCCTGGGGATAGTCTCTCTCAAGTCAGCAAGTCCCAGATGCCAGAGCATCAAGAATAGAAAAATTAAAAAATGTAGTTAATGCGCCACCCTTTAAAGTATTTACCCAGGAGATAATAAACACGTATCAAGTGCTAGCTGTGTGTCTGCTTTTGTGATTCTAGGGCTAGTGCAGTCCTTGAGACAGTCCTGGGCATGGGGTGGCCCTCGGTGATGTTTGTTACAATAGTGCTGAATGAACACTCCCCACCTGAGCCTGGAGTACATAGAAGTGCCGAAAACGCTGCCTCCACTCTCAGAATGTAAGTCTAACTGGAGAAAGCAATACATAAATATATTTATTATAGCACAATAATTGCCATTACTGAAAGCCGCAGTCATCTCCAAACCTACTCCTCCTGGAGTCCCTGCTGCCGGAGAGCCACCTCATGGTGTGCCCGCCACTGGAGCCAGCACTTGAGTGACCCTTGCTCCTCCTTGTCCCTCCTCCTTACCCCTTACCCCTCAGCATTCAAGTCTTGCCCAATCCACTTTCCAAAGCTATCGCCACATTCGTTTCCACTGACTGCAGAGAGAGATGCCATGTGGTTTCGCCGGAGGAACCCCCCCCCCCCCAGCTCTCCCACATGCCGCTCCCAGGGGCCTGGCTGGAGTCAGAGCAGGCCCCCCTGCCCCGCCTGTCCCCAGTCACACAGCACAGCTCTGGGCGCTAATTCAGAGCAGCTGTGCACCGGCCGCTGGTGGGCATCTGGGAGGGCGCCTGGCGGGGTAAGGCCGGAGTGCCTCCACCTACCAGGGGCTTAACCACCCAGAGTCCCTTTTAAGATGCTCTCTTATCCCTAGAAGCTGTTGTCTCTGGCAGGGGTCCGGAGCCAACAGAAGGCCAGAGGCAATTTTGAGGTAGACAGTTTGTCCCGGGCCCTTCCCATCTCCTTCTTGTGGGCCTCTTCCCCTCCTAATTCGCCTCCCGGCCCTCCCGAGGGGCCTGGTGCTGTCAGCTCCTCTGTGTAATTCAGTCACATTAGTGGAATCTAAAGGTCACTTTTTCCAATGAATCTGTGCTATAAAAGAGAACGGGAAGGAGGGCACATTACAGAGTATAAAGGATGGCTTTCTGATGGGACTGCAGTCAGGGATCTGTGGATGCGTAGAGGACATCCAGAGCACAGTCATGATTTGTCCCTCCGCCTCCCCAGCCTGGGGACAGAGGACAGACTGAGGCAGGAGAGGGCCTCAGAGAAGAAAGGTTGGCAGCCAGAAACTCCAGTTCATGTTCCAGGTGTCTGCAAGCGCTGATTTGAGGCTAGGGAGCTGTAAGGAAGGCGCATTCACTTGCTAGGCCTGCCCTGATAAGACACCTACCGTAGACTGGGTGGCCTAAACAGCAGGACTTTATTTCCTCACTGCTCTGGAGGCTAGTGGTTCAAGATCAGCCTGAGGCAGGTTTGGTTTCTCCTGACGCCGTTCTCCTTGGCTTGCAGATGACTTCCGTCTGTGCCCTCCCTGCATGGTCTTT